GTCCTCAAACTGACATCTTTGCTCTTCAGCAATTTAAAGAGGTCTTGGGCAGCAGATTGTATTCATAAGAAAGGGGACAAATCCAGTTAGCATAAGCTCTTGCCTTGCCTTTCTACCTTGAACTTGGATACAATGCCTGGGTCTGGGCATCCATCTGGTGATGTTAAGGGGAAAGCCTAGAGGATGTCAGGGAACTCATCTCTGCTATCGATCATTGGACCACCACACCAATACCTTCATTACATCATCTGTGAGAAAAGTAAAACTATTGGTCTAATTATTCTTATTATTTTTGTTATATGCAGCTAAAAGCATTTGAAATTGCTAAAATGGCTGATGTTGACTGTATCCCACAAAAATTGAAAGGAAATGAGTATTCAAACAAGTTTGTTGGATGGGTCAGTGGCTCAGAGAAGACGCAATGGTTCCTTTTCTGTGTCAACTTGGGTAAGTTACGATTGTCAAGGGTTTGACCACCAGATACCAGATTGATTGATGTGACATCACATCACGTAACGTGATATGATATAATGGATTGTAACGTGACTTAACGTAACGTCACGTGTGATGTGACATGGTGTATCCTAATGTGACATAATGTGCTGTAACCAAATTACTTTCCATGCTGTGAGCTGATCAACCAATCAGCTGTGAGGGACGTTTCCTGTGTGGCCCGCCTCCTGTATATAAAGGGATATTCTGGCTGCATTTGCTTTTTCTTTGTAGCTCAGTTTTCACATCACCTGATATATGGGTCATGGAATGTAAACCTGCAGATGTCCCTTGACCTATGGATTTAGTACTTGTCAGCCCCACAACTGTGTGAATTGACCCCCTGAAACAAATCTCTGTATACACTCACACACCCCTCACTGTGTCTGCTCCTCTTGAAAAACCCAAGAAGACAGGGTGATGCCAGGAAGCGAATGGAAATATCAGGACACCAGACAATGCCTCAATGGGCAGACGGATGGGGCCACCCCAGGCTGGTAAAAGGAGATAAAGTGAGACTCCTTGGGACCTGTGTGCAAGTCATTCTGCTGAGGAGATGTTTCCTGCGAGATGCTACTGAAATAGAAAACCCGGCTGATGGAGGGGAGGGTGGAGCATGTCCTCACTACATCCTGTCTGGGCTCCAGATCATCACCATCTCCTTCCAGGACTCACAGAGCTCAGGACGGGACTGAGGAACCATGTCCCAATTCCTGTCCGCCCTCTTCTGCCTTGGTAAGTCCTCAGGGTGGGTCTCGGAGACTTAGGGGTGCAGACAAGAGACTTCTAAAATCACAAGACAAGAGAGGACTTATGAGAGCACCTTCATTGGTTGGCTGTGGAAACTGAGGTCCAGGGATGTTATATGTTTCATCTGAATCATTCTAGTTTATTCCTGGTTGAGTCAGGAACTGAACATAGGTCTCCTGGTTTGGGATGCACTGTTCTTCTCTTATGCCATGATTACTTTTAAGAAGTTTAATTTATAAATCTGAACTTGAGGAGATCAGGATCAGGTTATAGATTTAATGGGCCAGCGTCTCTTACAGTAAGGAAGCAAATAAGTCTGTCTCTTGCAAAGGAGTAGGAGGGGATTGGATGTGTTTCTTACTGCCTGACCTTTAGAAGGCTTTGTGCCAGGTGTGTGGTAGACATTGCTTCTCCGTGCTTTCAGAATAACTGGGTTGCTGAAGGGATGGAAATTTCCGAAGCTTAAGCAGGAAGGAAGCAATGTGCTATTGGGTTGAGAGAGCAGACACATTACTCAGTCAACCAGCCAGGACATGCTTCTGTACCATTTACTGTGGGCCAAGGAACTGGGTGCTCCAAGTGGTTTGTGATTGGCTGTCAACCTAAACGTTGGTGGTTCGAACCCACTGAATTAGAACCATGGAAGAAAGACTTGGTGATCTGCTTCTATAAAGAGGAAAAGCCAGGAAAGTCTGCGGAGCTGTTCATCCTAAGTCAGAACAACTCAATGGCAAGGGTTTGGTTTTGGACGATTGTTGTTGTTGTTGTTGTTAGGTGCCATCGAGTCAGTACCGACCCACAGCGACCTTATGCACAGCAGAACGAAACACTGCCCGATCCTGGGCCAACCTCACTACTGTTGCCACGCTTGAGTCCATCCATGCTGCCACTTAGCCAATCCATCTCATTGTGGGGGTGGGGGTGGTGTCTTCCTCTTTTTCTCTGACCCTCCACCTTATCAAATATGATATCCTTCTCCAGCTACTGCTCCGTCCTGACAATATGTCTGAAATATGAGAGATGAAGTTTGGCCATCTTGGTCTCCAAGGAGCACTCTGGCTGCACTTCTTCCAACACAGATCTGTTGGTTCTCTTGGCAACCCATGGCACTGTCAATATTCTCCAACACCATAACTCAAAAGCATCAACTCTTACGGTCTTCCTTAGTCACTGTGCAGCTTTCACATGCATATGAGGTTATTGAAAAGACCATGGCTTGGGTCAGGTGCACCTTAGTCCTCAAGCTGACATCTTTGCTTATAGGTCACATATTATTATTATTTTTAACCAGCACTAATTATGCATTTAAGGAGCTCTGGTAGCATAGTGGTTATGAGTAGGGCTGCCAACCTCAAGGTCAGCAGTTCGAAACTACCAGCTGCTCCGTGGGAGAAAGATGAGGCTTTCTGCTCCTGTAAAGATTTACAGCTTCAGAAACCCTGTACAGGGTCGCTATGAGTTGGAACCGACTCCACGGCACATAACAACAACAACAACAACAATAATGCATTTAATCATTGGCAACAGAAATGATACCAATTTCACAGATGAGAAAACTGAGACCAAAGGAACACAGTAACTTGTTGAAAATCACACAAATAATGGTTGGCTACAAACTAAGAATTTTGGTGCCAAATCCATGTATTTAACCACTAAAATATCCTGCCTATGTTTGGATCTAGCTCCTTCCAGCTACAGGCTATTGGACAAGATCCGGAAGCGTTTGGTGTCTGCATAGATTGGTATATAAAATGGTGTTCTTCATGGTAGTACCCAGTAGGACTGTGGCACAGAAAATGTTCAACATGACACTTGGGTTAATCCCAGGGTGTCAGGGGGTTTCATGGCAATGATTATGTTTACAATGAGAATGATAATCATCATTCTATGTATGTACGCATGTGTGTGTCTCTTTGTGCAAGCATTAGGGTTACCACATAAAACACAGGACTGAAGGGTAAGCAGTGGACTGCCAACCACAAGGTCGGCAGTTCAAACCCTCCAGCTGCTTCTTGGAAATGCTAGACTAGGTCGCTCTGAGTCAGAACTGACTTGATGGCACTTAACAACAACAACAAAAGGCTCTCTCTCTCGCTCTCTCTCTCTGTCTCTCGCTCTCTCTCTCTCCATCTCTCTCTCTCTCTCTCTCTCTATATATATATATATGGAACTCTGGTAGTGTAATGAATAGGTTACAAGTCGGGCTGCTAACTGCAAGGTTTTTTTTTGAGATGATTGAAAATATCAAGGTTTGGGTAAAGTGCCTATTATGTTGTTTAAAAAGGATATTTGCAATGAAGAAGTCTTTGGTCTTGCAAAATTGTATCATGTGACTCCAGGATCATTTCTATCACCAAGGTCATATTTTTCAACTACTGATCCTTCCTCTTTGTTTTCAACCTTCGCATTCCAATCACCAGGAATGATCAATGCATCTTGATTGCATATTGGTAGAATTCTTTCTTTTCATCCTAAGTGGCTTTAGTGATCGGTAGGTGAATTTTAAATAATCGTCCTGATCGCTCTTGGCTTGTCGGTGGGTGGTCTATCTCGTCCAATCACAGGCGGCTTTGTACTTCATTGTGCTTCAAGACAGATCTTGAAATATTCTTTTTGATGGTGAATGAATGTGACCCCATGTCCTCTTGAATTTCTCATTCCTGGAATACAAAATGATATGATTGTCTGATTCAAAATGGCTAGTAGCAGTCCATTTCAGCTCACTAATGCCTAAGGACTTGGTGTGGCTTGGTCAAATAAGCACTAAACTGCTGAGTGCAAGGTCAGCAGTTCAAACCTGCCAGCCACTCCTTGGAAACCCTATACAGGGTTGCTTTGTGTTGGAACCATCTCAATGGCACTCAACAATGACAACAACAATATCTAAGATACTGTTCTATCAATATTTTTGATATTTATGTGCTCCATTCATTTTTGACAACTTCCGGTTTTCCTAAATTCATCCTTTGTACGTTGCATGTTCTGATTATAAACAGACGATTGCAGCTGTTTCTCCTTATTTTGTGTTGTGCTCCATCCAAAAGCTTTGCTCCATTCACGTCATTGTGGTCAACTCTACTCTGAGAAGGCAACTCTTATCCAGTTGTATTTTTAGTGTCTTCCAACCTGGAGGCTTCAGCTTCCGGCACTTTATCTGACAGTATTCTGTTCCTATTCGTAAGGTTTCCCAGTGGCGAAACATTCAGGAGTACCCTACCTCTCCTTCTTCCTCGTCTGTCTTAGTCTTGAAGCTCAGTTGAACCTACTTACCATGGGTGACCCTGTTGGTATTTAAAATACCGATGGCATAGCTTCGAGCATCAGAGCCACAGGCAAGCCACCATGGTATGACAAACTGACAGACAAGTGGTGATAATATACATAAAGGAGTTGGGGAAAAAATACAATAATTATGCCCCAAAGGTATAACGTATGTCCATGTCTCATCACCATGCCCGGCAGACAGATAATGCTGATGAACGTGAGTGAGGCTCTAGTGGTATAGTCTTTTTAAATTATTATTTCAATTCATTTCTTAAAATGTGGTAAATATAGTCAATAAAACATGCGCTATTTCAATATTGTATTCTTTCATTAGGGCTGTGCCTGAGGCAGGAGACACACGCACAGAAGGGTGAGTCCTTTTCCCCAAGTCTTCAGATCCCTTCTCTGCGTTCGGCTGGAGAGAGTGTGTGTGTGAGAGTATGTTTGCAGACAAGTGTTTGGGAGCACACTGACCTCTAGCTCTCTCCTTTCAGCCCCTCTCCCCAAGCCCTCCCTGCTGGCCCACCCCGGTGCCTTGGTGCCTCTGGATAAGCCAGTGATCATCCAATGCCAGGGGCCTCTGGACGTGGACATGTACCGTCTGGAGAAGCTCAAGCCCAGGAAGTATGTGGATGATGCACTCCTGTCCATCCCGGCCATGAAAGAGAGCTTGGCCGGACAGTACCGCTGCTCCTATCAGAACGGGACGGTCTGGTCTCCACCCAGCAACCTGCTGGATTTGATTGCTATCGGTAACCGGGGGTGGGGTACGCGTGTGCGCATGTGTGTGTGTGTGTGTGCGCGTGCACATGCACAGGCTGCACTTAAATAGCTCCGGGCTCCCAGCAAGTAGGTGATAGTAAATTTAAAGCCCCACAAGGCTGGGGTGGGGAGAGGTGAGAAAGGCACTTGCTTTGGGTTCTGACCTGAAGGGGCCATGATAACCCATGACAATCGTATGTTTAAGAGAATGAAACATGGCCCGATGATCCTGAGTCATTGTCACTGTTGTTGGGGTCTTTGTTCTCCACTGCTGCCATAACAGAAACACCACAAGTGAATTGCTTTGACAAGCAGAAGCTTACTCTCTCACAGTGTGTTGTTGTTGTTGTTTAGTGCCATGGAGTCAGTTCTGACTCATAGCGACCCTGTATAGGGTTTCCAAGGAGCGGCTGGTGGGTTTTGAACCGCCGACCTTCCTGTTAGCAGTCCAGTGCTGATCCTACTGTGCCACACCAGGACTCCTCTTGGTGGTAGTAGGGCATGCAAGACACAGCCCTGGGGACCCCCATGACAGAACATCAGCGCTGTAATGTCCTGGTGTGGTGCTGTAGGATCAGCACTGTGGTGGTTCAAACCCACCAGCTGCTCCTTGGAAACCCTATGCAGGGTTGCTATGAGTCAGAACTGACTTGACAGTAATTAACACCAATCACAATTTGCTGCCCTGGGTGGCGTCCTGGTGTGGTGCTGTAGAATCAGCCCTGGACTGCTAACTACAAAGTCGGTGGTTCAAACTCACCACTTACTCCTCAGAAACTCAGTAAAGGGTCACTATGAGTCAGAACTGACTCAACGGCTCTTCATCAAATACCACGTTCGTTTCTAACGATTGGTTTTTCCTAATGATGCGTCCAAAAGTAAGTAGCCCAAAATTGCTCCGTCCTCACTTCTAAGACGTATTGTCAAAGCATTTAGTAATCAGGAGTTAAGTATTTTAATACAACATCTATGTTTTTATTGAGGTGAAATTCACATAACGTCAAATTAACCATTTTAAGCTGAACAAGTTAGGGGAATTTAGTACATTCACAAAATTGTACAACCACCACCTCTAGCTAGTTCCCAAACATTTTCATCACTCTAATGGAGGCTCCATCCCAAATCTCCCCTCAGCATCCTCCCTTCTCTTTTGTCTCTATGTATTTATTTACTCTGGATTCCATACACCTGAAACCACTTACCTTTTCAATGTGAACAAAGTATCACAATGTTAAAGAAAGACGGGATTGGGCAGAACCATGCCCGACCACATCAGAATGATCAACTCTTTTCCAGAGGTAGATTTTGAAAATATTATCAATGAGTTTGCTTCCATTAAAGCCAGGACAGTAACATGGTAGTAAGCTGTGGGCAGGTATAAATAAAATAGTTAAACTTAAAATAATGGTGTGGGTTTTCATTTTTAATACTTACTTTTCAATATTTTCCCCACTAAGGAGCTCTGGTAGTGTAGTGGTTACGAATCGGGCTGCGAACCTTAAGGTCAGCAGTTCAAAACTACCAGCCGCTCCGCGGGAGAAAGATGAGGCTTTCTACTCCCGTAAAGATTTACACCCTCGGAAACCCTATACAGGGTCGCTATGGGTCGGAACCGACTCGACGGCACTTAACAACAACAACAACAACATGTTAATATAGTGAGGAAAAGTAGCCATTAAAAACAAAACAGATGTCTACACAGCCTGGAGATCTGCGTAGACATCTGCCCCACCAGGACCCCCAGTTCTGGAAGGTAGAGCTATGAATTTAGGATGTCAACCAAGCCATGTTCTCCCAGAAAGTTCTAGAAGATCCCTCCTTATTTCTTTCAGCTCCTAGTAGCCCTGGAGTTCTGGTGTGGCACTGTGGGCTAATGCCCTGGACTGCAAGGTTGATTTGAACCACAAAGTTGGCAGTTCAAGGTCACCAGCCACTCCTTGGAAACCCTATACAGGGTCGCTATGAGTCAGAACTGACTCGACGATACTTAACAACAACAACAACAACAACAGTAGTCCTAGGTGTTCTTTGGCTTGCAGCTGCAGCAAAAGTCTATTGTCATCTGGTGTCTCCCCTCTGTGTCTGTGTCTCCTCTCCTCTTTGATAGGGACATCCCTCATATTGGATTAGGACCCACCCAAGTCCAGTATGACCTCACGTAAACTGAAAACACCTTCAAAGACCCTATTTTCAAACAAGGAGTCGCTGGGTGGGGTAGATGGCTAAGCGTTTGACTATAAGCTGAAAGGTTGGCAGTTCAAACCCACTCAGATGTGCTTTGGAAGACAGGCCTGGAAATTTGTCTCAGAAAACCTTGAAAATTCAGTGGAGAAGTCTTTCTCTGCACATCCGAGGTTACCATGAGTTGGGGTTGACTCACAGTTTCCAAACCAGGTCATATTCACAGGAATAGGGCTTAGGACTTCAATATACCTTCGTGGGGGACACAATTCAACCCATAAGAAGACACAGTAAGAAAGTTCCCAGCTCTTAAAAGTTCTCACCTCCACTTCCAAGACACCTCCCTCTAATACTAGGGTTCTCTTCTAGGTGTCTTCTCCCAGCCCACGCTCTCAGCCAGGCCCAGCTCAACAGTGTCCGCAGGAGGGGAGGTGACCCTACAGTGTCAGACCCCATATGGCTTTGATCGTTTTGCTCTGTACAAGGAAGGAGACCCAAGGCCCTTAAAGACCTCTGAGATGTGGTACCAGGCCAATTTCCCCTTCATCGCTGTGACTGCTGCCCAGAGTGGGACCTACCGATGCTACACTTTTCAGAGTTCGATTCCGTACCTGTGGTCACACCCCAGCGATCCCCTGGAGCTCATAGTCAAAGGTGAGAGCAGTGCTACCCACACATTTCTTCCTCACCTTCCCAAGCTCTGATGGTGGTCCGATTGGGGAGGAACCAAGAGATGAGGGAAGTAAGTGGGGCAGGGGAGCTTTAGGAGATGTGATAGTTCTCTCTTGTTGCTCTAGGGGAATCTCTGGGTGATATAAACAGTTAAGTATTTGACTGTTAGCTGAAAGATTGGTGGCTTGAAGCCACCCAGAGGTGCTTTGGGAGACAGGTGTAGAGATCTGCTTCTGAAATCTAACAGCCTTGAAAACCCTATGGAACATAGTTTACTCTGACACATGAGTCAGTCACATATTGCAAATAGCAACAACATTGCTTCTATAACAAATTACCACAAATTTAGGGACTTCAAGAGATGGTGGCAAAGGTGATAGCATGGAGAAATAGAGCAGCTGCGGACCGTAGGCCCATGGACTCAGCAAGGCTGTTTGCCTGCGGGCAGGAGGCTGGCTTGCAGAATGTGCCCTTTGGACATTTAAAAGAATATATATATTTTTGTTTTAAATGTGTACAACAAATATTTTTGCTTGTTCATTTGTGCAATGTAAGATGTAAATGGGGAGTGACAGGTAGGGAGGAAGTAGGATAACTTGTTTCAGGGAAGGAGATTGCAATGATTGGGATAAAACAAAATGTGTAATTTGTTGAAGGTAGAGTTGATGATTTTGTCAGCAAACCTTCACTCAAGGCATAATAATAATAATAAAAGACCATAGATCTGTTGACTGAAGACCAGAAGACTTGTGGGATGACATCAAGATCATACAGGGTGATGCTTGCTTCATAAAGTTAATTTGGTAGTTTTTCTATATTCTGGAATCGTTTGAGTAGTATTGATGTTTTGGTAGAATTCACCCCGGTAAAACCATCCAGGCCTTGTCTTTTTTCATTGGGAGTCCTTTAATGATGATCCATTTCTTCTTTTGTTGTCTGTTCAAGTTTTCAACTTCAGTCTGTTAGTTTAATCAAGTCATGGGTTTCTAGACATTGGTCCATTTCTTCTAGATTCTCAAATTTCTTAGAGTACAATTTTTCATTCACTCTCCATGTCTACTTCCAGACCCAGGAGACCTCCGATCTGATTTGTCTCTAGGGATTCACTTTTTTTTGAATTCCTGTTCTTTTATTGCTTCTTCCAGCCAACACATTTAAAGGGTCACCCCATTTAAAGGTCTAATTCAATGCTTCTAAGTTTAAAGAGTTGTACAATCATCACAATCTAATATTAGCACATTTCCATCAGTCCCAAAAAGTCTCGTGTATTCATGTGGAGCTACGTCCTGTTCCCACCCCGAGCTCCAGGCAACCAACCCCTGATGAGTTCTCTCTCTTTCTCTATGTAGAGATTTTGCTTTTCTGGACATTTCCTATAAATGAAATTATACAGTATTTGGACTTTTATGTCTGGCTTCTTTCATTCAGCATTAATATTTCTGAAGCTTTTTCATATTGTAGCAGGTTAATTGAAAGTTTTAAATGTTGAAGTATACAGAAAGACAACATTTCAACAATTTATACATCAATCACCTTGATTACATTCAAATTGTGCAGGAATTCTCATGATCCTTTCCAGATGATAACTTCTGCCATTATCTGAAACTCAGCTTCCCATCCAACCACTTCACTTCATCAAGTGGTGTCAACTTGACCTCACATGGAGAGTTCAAAGAACACAATATTCAAAGCATGCAGTCTTCCATTAAAAGGCTTTTCTCCCCGAAAAGGTCATATTAGAAATATGCATTTCTTGTATAATTCTTAGGATTGAAAAAAATCTTGGTCTCATTTCCTAATGCATGCTTCCAATCACATCGTCAAAACCTCTCCATAATCTGACATCTCCGCTGCTCTACCCGTCTTTTAACTGGGCTTCTTACATTCTTTTCCTACTGGCTTGTCATTGGTTTGTATCCTTGTCTCACTTAGATTGCTGTGAAAACTGCAGTCAGAGGGATCCTTTTTTAAACAGGGGAGGGAGAAGGGCAGGGAAGAGGAAAGCATATCCATTGCTTTCCATACCTTTGTTCAAAGTTGGCACAGTGGATGCACCACACTTATTTCTAAGGTCGTTAAAGCTCTAAATTAGAGTCCTGGTGTGGTGCTGCGGGCTAATGCGCTGGACTGCAGTTTTCTGAACCACAAAGTTGGTGGTTCAAGCTCACCAGCCGATCTTTGGAAACCCTATACAGGGTTGCTGTGAGTCGGAACTGACTCAATGGCACTTTAACCATCTCTCATCATTCACACTCTGCTGTAGACACGCTGACTCTTCAGGGTTATCATTGCCTTGAGGACTCTACTTGCTGGGATGTTGTATCCCCAGGCATTCGCCTGGTTTATTCCATTGCTCTGGTAGCGTAGTGGTTACAAATCAGGCTGTGAACCTTAAGGTCAGCAGTTCGAAACTACCAGCCACTCTGCAGGAGAAAGAGGAGGCTTTCTGCTCCCATAAAGATTTACACCCTCGGAAACCCTGTACAGGGTTGCTATGGGTCAGAACTGACTCCACCGCACATAACAACACTTGTGTCATCTACCATACCACACTGTGGTTGGTGATAGTATCCTCTCTCAACTGTAGGCTCCAGGAAGGGAGAGAGCATTTGTCCGATTTTTTAATTGGTGTACCCAAATAATCACAGTTCCTGTACTACTGTTGGTGCGTACTATTCAATCAATGTAGGAATGACTGTTCTGTACCTTTGTTCTTCAATAGCTTTGTTAGGTGCTGTCGAGCTGGTTCCAACTCAGGTGACAGCTTTAAGCTTTAGTGTGACATAATTTACGCAATATACAATTTGCCCTCAGAAAGCTCAAGGAGTGTTAAGAGATGGGGAGAAAAGCATTTCCATGAAGTGTTTGACAACCGCCTTGTAGAGGTCCGTGGTTTTGTGTTAACTTCAGAGAGTTGTGCGTTCATCCCAACCCAGTTTGGGAACTTGTCAATCACTCCAAAGACTGACTTACAATGTCTATGTGCACCTCCAGACCAGGAGACGGCCACTCTGATTTCTGACTCTAGGGATTCACTTTCTTGGGTTCCTGTTCTTACTACATCTTCCATCCAACACATTAAACACTGCCTTCAGCTACCCCAGTGTTGTGCTGCAGCGGACTGAACAATTGAGGAAACCTTCCGTTAGTCTAGTGCTTTTTCCTTACACATACACGCAGCACACATGCATCCACTGGAGCAAACAGCCTGTAATTAAAGATGCATCCAACACACATATACTTGTCCCTCTGGTAAGCACTGAGGTAGGTGGAGGTGAGCTGGGTGCACATGGGTGAGCTTGTATGTGCAAACATACCGTGGTGAGGGTAGCAGATTTATGTAGCTGCAAAGCCAGTGTGGCTGGGGGTGGGCAGAGGCAGATGGGAGATGAAAGAGGACAGTGGTTTTTTTAGGGATTCCTGCACACCAGATACCTGCCCCTTTCCACCAACCGATTCCTGTCCCCTTAATGACTTCCCAGGAGTCAAGGAGCTGGTTTTGCTCGCCAGGACAAAACAGCATATATAATAATGACTTATAGCCTTGGACACCCTATACAACTGGGGGTTCACAGGAGTCGGAATCTACTCAATGGTAGTAAGTTATTTTTTTGGTTTAAGGTAGAACTTTGTTTTGTTCCTTGCTATAAGTTCCATCAGCATATTGAATAGTGCCAGGCTTGAATACAGTGGTCCCCAGTCTTGGGAACTCAATCTAATAGGGAACGTGCACATTGAGGAGATTCTGTTATCTGAGGATAATTAATACCAAAACCCCACTGAAAGTTAACTGACACATAAAAGTTTCATAATTCTTTTAAAAATTGAAAAAAACAAACAAAAAAACAGCATATAGACAGACAACCAAAAGGAGGGCAGACATATTAACCTTAGAATGTGCCAGGAGCTGGGGGACGTATGTTGCCAAGTGAAATTTACATGTCCAACACCATACAGTGATGTAAGCTGCAGATTCAATCTATAGGTGAGGCCTTTGGTTCAGGGGTCCCTACGCAGAAGCTGATTTCTCTTCTTCTTAATTTCTCAGGGACCCCCGTGACTCCCAGCCGGTTACCCAAAAAGCCACCTTCCTCTGCATCAGCTAAGTCTTGTCGTCTCTACAGTGTGTAGAATATGAAGCATGTTAATTAGCTCATTGTTCTAAATCTGTGGATTTAGGTCACTTGACTCTTTCATCAGTTTGCTATATTTAAAAAAAAAGTATTTTTGTCTACAAAGAATAGTGATAAAGCCACTGCCATCAATTTTATGTTACAGCTGTATAATGTAAGTCAACAGTGGAACGGCTTACCATAGGGCTTCCAAAGCTATCATCAGGACAGAAACCGACAACAGACTGCCACATTTCTCCTGTTGAGTGGCTGGCTGGTGGGCTTGAACAGTTGTGGCACCAGGGCTCCTCAGACTAACAGATGTGCTGACCCCCACCTTGTCTCTGTCCTGTCAGGGGAGGGTGGTTTATGGTATAAAGCGTAGCACCTTAACAGACTCGACAGGATTTAAAGTGCAAAATAAACTGAGCAGTTGGTCCAATGGTTCGTTCCTGCCCTCCATTTATGGGCCTGATTCTCAATTTGAGGGTTTGTAGGAATCATGTACCATTAGATGCGTTCTAGCTCATGTTAAGTGCCATTGAATCATTTCTTACTCAGAAAGACCCTATAGAGGGTTTCTGAGGAAACGGTTGGTGAGCTTGAACCACCCACCTTCAGTTCAAATGACCTTGCTGTCTAACACATTACCCCACAGCCAGCACCACACAATTCCAGCTCATTAAGTGCTGTCCTCCCATAGCGACCCTGAACTGGGTTTCCGAGGCTGTAAATCTTTATGGGAGCAGCTGGTAGTTTCAAACTGCCGACCTTGTGAACGGTTCGCAGGCCGATTCATAACCACTACCCTAACAGAGCGCCTTATTCCAGCTCATAGTGACCCTTTAATAGGGCAGAGAACTGTGCTCAAGGTCAAGACTGTGACCTTGTGAAAGCAGATACCCCAGCCTGTCTTCCAAGGTGGCTCTGAACTCTCAACACTTCAGATAGTGGTCAAATGTTTAACTGCTACTACCCTGTCATCTTGTGAATCTATTATTTCAAAATGTTTTTTTTTAAATCCAGTTAGAAGTATAGTGTGTGATAACTGTTTTATGGGTCCCTGCCTTACCTACATAAGAGGGCAGCTTCAAAATGTTCATGGGAAAAACTCCGTTTTTTCCATGAACTTGAAGCCCCTTTGTCTCATGAGCTTGTCAAGAGTCTGTCAAATTGCAAAGATAGAGCGCTCCTAGGTGCCAAGGAGGTGGATGAGCACAGTGGCAGCAGTGGGCTTAGGCATAGCAATTTTGAGGGTGGTACAGGACTGGGCAGTGTTTCATTCATTGTTCATGGGGTTGCTAGGAGCCAGTTTCTCTCATTACAAATGCTCTTGTGTTTCAGTGAGTTTACACCGCAAACTATGTTTCTAGCTGGCGTGGTAATTTCTACACAAGTAGTTTGGTGACATTTTACTTTTTTCATAGGGCGTCATTTCCATTGTGTTCTGGTTGGTCAGTTTACATAGAGTGCGTGCTGTGTCAAAACCAGATATCCAGGCGTTGACTGACAACCAGCCACATTGGTCATGCATAGCCAGTTTATTATTAGTGTATTGTTGTGTAGACACCAGAGTCAGACCAAAGGACCATAGTCCCAACAAAGATCTCCCTCATGCTTCCATTTTATCCCCTCCCTCACCACCACCCCTAAGCCCTTGTTGTTAAGTGTTAACCCTAACCCTAACCCATAGTTGTTTAGGAACTATGCAAGGAGCTCTGGTAACAAAGTGGTTACAAATCGGGCTACAAACCTCAGGGTCAGCAGTTCAAAACTATCAGCTGTTACGTAGGAGGAAGACAAGGCTTTCTGCTCCTGCAAAGATTTACAGCCTAGGAAACCCTATATATAGGGTCACTGTTGAGTTGGAACCCATTCCACGGCACATAATGTTTAGGTGGTTGTACTTTTCTGGTTTACCTGTGTTTTTTTTTTTTTGTTTGAATCGATGTATTTATGCCACAAATTAGGATCTGTAAAATTGCCCTATTTCTTTATGTTTGATACATTCCCATGATTTATAATATTTTTGGTTAATTTATAGTAATATTTTCAAACCAAGTGCTGGTAAAGTTGCTTGAACCTTTTTGTATAACTTCTTAGCAGACTGGTGAATTTCTAGATGTGTTCAATTTTTATAGATTATTTTTAGACTTAAGATAACGATTTTCTTCTGATTTGTTAAGTGACATTGAGTCGGTTCTGACCCATAACAACTCTAAATAGGGTTTCCAAAAAGTGGCTGGTGGGCTTAAACCAACAACCTTGTGGTTCACAGTCCAGTGATTACTCCATGTAAAGGTTACCTCAGGGCAAACAGATTCAGAGGTTCAGCCACCTCCAGGATTAATGTGTAATTCATACACTGAGATTTACCACACCCACCAGGACGCTACAGTTAATGGCAAGTATGTAAAGTCGCATACAGGCAGATTTGGAAAAGTTTGTCAGGTTGTCAAAAAGTTAGTTTATATTCATGCAAAAGATATTGTCATAGTAACGCCAAGTTGAAATAATCCAAATGTCCATCAACTGACAAATGGGTCAGCTTCTTAAAACACAGAGAATTGAAGGCCTGGGGACTTTTAGATTTGTCTTCACTGTATTCTGCATGTAAGAAGGGTAGGGTTCATGTATCTAGATTTCTCACCAGGGATGAAAAACAGAAAGGAAAACAAACTTTTAATCTTCCTCATTAGACTTCCCAGAAGCCTCCAGAAAACTGAACACCTCACCTATGAACAAAGTCCCCACCACCACTGGTGAGTAACCTGGCACTTTTTTGCAGGTCAGTAGAAAGGAGTGGGAGGAGGGTGGGCTCCCATCTTCTTAGGCTCTACGTCACAAACCTTCTCAGTGCCCAGCAAAAGTTCTTGAGTCAAATAGGAATAGGACGGAGGTGGGCCCAAGACTACAATGTAAACACTTCCAGTGGCCAGATAAGAACCTTGCCTCACAGATGTGAGGATTCTCACAACCTGCTGAACGTCTACGTTCAAATTGGAAATCTGCAATGTATGGTTCATGTTCCCTAAATGCCATTGGGTTCAAAGCAGGAGACAGCTAGTAGACATAGTTCCCCCATTCCCTCAAACTACATTTTTTTTTTTGTTTGAATCCCAGGGACCTATCAGAACATTACTGTCCTTCCAAAGGGATCGGACTCTCCAAGTAGTAAGTGGTCCCCTCCATACCTCACCCCCCCTTATACATGTCTTCTTCATTAAAGCTAAGTCCTTGATTTGGAGTCTGGGGAGGGGGATGACAGAAGTTGGATACTTTAGTCTCTTCTACAATTATCTACAAAAACCAGGCAGTATATCACCTGAGAGGGGCAGTATGGGAAAGTGATTTGGGCTTATCTAGCCCCATTCCTCGGTGGGAAGGAATGGGACATCCTAGTAAGGAAGATTGGCAGGATCAGAGCTTGGGGTAGCAGTTATGAGAAACCCAGACTGTGAGGAACAAAGGATCTGGCTTGGAGTGGGACCTGGAGATGAGCTCTTCTCACCTGTCCCTGTCTTTCATTTATCTAGACTTCGCCTACCGGAACTACTCCAAGGGCAACATGGTCCGGGTCTGCCTTGGCGTTACAGTTCTCGTGCTCTTGGCAGGGATTCTAGCAGAAGACTGGCACAGTCGGAAGAAACCCTTGGTACACAGAGTCCGAGCCATCCAGAGACCACTGCCGCAGATCCCCAAATCAAGTATCGGTCAGTCACAGGTGCCACCATCAGAGGCACAGCTGTAGCTCAGCTAGAACATATGGGTGGGCAGAATAGAAGGTAGAGGCTGCTTCTTGCCAGCTCCCAGCACAACTTCTTAGGGAATCAGTAATGTAGCCTAGCTGTAAATCTCACTGAGCTCATACACACAGTGTAGATATCAACAATCTGGCCTCTTTCTACTCTCTTCAGGGTTACTGATGGATACGACTACTAAAGCTGATTGTTCAGCAAACAAAAACAATGGCAAGGTGGTGCTAGCCAAGAATCACATACCCAGCCAAAGCCGTCCCTCAAATATAGGAAATTAAAAGGTTTTATTTGTCGTGACCAGACCAACTTTAAAAAACGCTAATAAATGTTGTTTGCACTAAGAACAATCTGGGACCATATGATATTATCACCTGGAATTCAACCCAGATATATAGAAATATTTAAAATAGAACCTCCAAGACTGAAAGTAGGAAACAGATTAATGTATAATGAACTACAAAGCCAAAAGAGATAATAGTATAAATATACAGAACTTTTAAATCCTAAGGAAGTCAAGCAGATGATTAAGACAAAACAGATTTTAACCAGGGAAGAAACTATAGCAAAACCTCTAATAAAAATAAAGAAAGCCACTGAGTTTAAAGTGCTTTAAATGTACCAGTCAGGCATAACAAGCTGAGAGAGGGTAAGCAAAAGGATCAACAGCCTAAATGCTCAACGTAAAGACCTCACCAGCATGTTTGAACCAGAACTCGGTCAGCCCTCAACAATTTGAAGGTCAGTATAGGAGATAGGAGACAATTGTGTAGTGGTTAGGTGTCAGGCTACCACCTCAAGGTCAGCAGTTTGAAAACTACCAACCATTCCACAGGATAAAGATGAAGTCTTTCTGCTCCCATAAAGATTTACAACCTTGGAAACCCTGTGCAGGGTCACTAACCAACAGGGAGTTCAAAGGCGTCCTGGTGTGGCGCTGTGGGTTAATGCACTAGACTGCAAAGACAGTTTGAACTGCAAGGTTGGTGGTTCAAGCTCACCAGTCGCTCCTTGGAAAACCCTCTAAAGGTCGCTATTGGTCAGAACTGACTCAATGGCACTCACACTTCACAGGAGTTCAAAACACTGTGGGGTTGGGAAGAGAAATAGACAGCTTCAAAAAAGTTCATGGAATGCAAGGCTATTCATCCACAAATGTGTTGAAACTCCCCAATAAGGAATCCCCATCAGAGTCACGACTCCTGTAGGTCAAAGGACACCAGAACTGACCAAGAGCCAAGAGCCAGGAAACGCATCAGCGAAATCAAGGCTCTCACCTGCCTCCTGGATGAGCTACTCCAACAAGAAGGCTAAGTTTTGTCAGAACTCAGTAAGTACAGCTTCATTTATGATTGCGTTCACCTTTATTTCTTTTCATCTTGTGATACAGACATTTCACACACAACATGGTTTGTGCACGTTTCATGTAAGCCCAAGACAATGAAAACTAAGACAGTATGTGGTCGTCACCTGCTAACTTCTAGGAAGACTAAGATTCACCATCCATACCATCCATCACCATTGTGTGAGAATGGCTCCAGCGGTTTACATGAAGAAGTCACGACAAGAGGGCCTGGGATTACCGAGATCGTACTCGTCTTTCTCAATAGTCAGTTGTGGGTTGCGGTCTTGGACTTCTTGCAGCAGCTTTTGCATTTCAGTATCAAATGGATCGGTCTGTAACCTGGGGGGTCGGGGCCAAAGGAAAAAAAAAGTTTGTAACAATTTTATTGCTTCAAGGACTTATTCCAAGCTCTCAAGTGCTTGCTTTAAGGATTTCAAAGAGACTACCACACTTATCTGATGGGTAAAGGACATCTGATTCAGTGCCATACAATGGTGTAAGCCAGAGTGTGACCCCTTAGTGATTATGAATTCAATACAAAGCGGGCTGCGAACCTAAGGTCAGTGGTTTGAAACGATCAGCCACTTGGCGGGAGAAAGATGAGGCTTTCTACTCCCGTATAAATTTACACCCTCGGAAACCCTGTACAGGGGCGCTATGGGTTGGAATCGACTCAATGGCACTTTAACAACAACCTTTAAGGAGCTCTGGTAGCGTAATGGTTACGAATTGGGCTGCGAGCCGCAAGGTCAGCAGTTCGAAACTACCAGTGGTTCCGTGGGAGAAAGATGAGGCTTTCTGCTCCCGTAACATCGGAAACCCTGTGAAGGGTCGCTAGGAGTTGGAACCGACTCCACGGCACACAACAACAACCCTTAAAGTTAACCTTCACCACCATTTATTTACATGGCCAACTTCCAATCTTGTGTTTACCTTGTAACTACATTCAGGAGTGCCTTAGTGGTAACTATTCTATTCTCTACCTGGATGTTCACAGGAACAAAGCTTGGACATCTACTGCTAATCATCATTGAAACTCTAGGGCATAGGTGTGCAGACAACAGAAGGCGTCAGAATAAGCGTGATGGGACTGGCTGGTACTGGTGCCCACATTCAGCAGTAGGCCAGAATGGGCATGTGCAGAAACAAAGCAAAAAACGTTCAAGTACTTACGGGACTAAGAGATGAGTGATCCATTCTCGATAGTCCTGGTTTTTTGTTAAAAAATTAATGTTTGCTAATTTAGGACTCAATATATACATGCAACCTTCAACTAGGTTTGGGTGGGTTATCTGATGGCATAGCACTGAGTCAGAAAGGGACCCGAACGAGTAAAGCAGAAGGGTTGTTGTACTTTAAGAATGTGTTGTACTTTAAGAATGAGGCATGATGTTAGGGTTGAAATACAACAGAAGATGTTTATCACTAACTTAAAAGGGCTCTGTACGCTATGGGGTACCCAATAGAAAGCCACCCCTCACGTGGCTCTGACTCGGGAAAGAATGTCTCACTTGGTGGCCTGACCTAACACATCCACTGTTACAAATTACCTCCTGAGTGTTCACAAACCTCTTGACAACATGGTTCCTTTGGCTCTAAATCATGTTAAATTTACCACCTTCTAGGACAATAATCATTCCCTGAAAACCTCCGGTGGTCTATGTTGTACCGGAGCATTCTCTGAAGTTTCCATAAGAGGTTTCTGGCCCTTTAAAGCCGTGGCAGTCACAATAGAACACATGACAGTTTATACCAATGGGCAATCAGCCGAGAGTCAGTCAGTTGATGGGACGCTCGTACGTGGCCTGCCTGCGCCCATGAGATGGCAGACTCATTTCCTGTTTTAACTGACATTAGCTTTTCAGATCTCCAGTGCCAATGCACTCTAGACAAAGTCTTCTTTCTCTAGAAGTAACCGAGGATGCTTACCTGTCCTTTCCTAATGTTGCCAGGGCTGACTACCACACGCACGAGCAAGCGGGTTAAGTTTGATGGAGAAAAGCCGAGTGTTAATGGTAGGGGCCTACAATGAATCCCGTTTTATGTTCTGAGATCAATTATGGGGAAACCCTAACGAATAACAGGAGGGGTCGTACCTCAGTTTAGTTAGGGAATGGTTTTGCTGCTTCAAGGCTTCACACAACATCTTTATCCCATTATTTCCCAAAGAATTCTGGCCTAGGTCCAAAGTGGTCAGCCTTTGGTTGCATTTCAGGGCAGACGAGAGGTCCATGCAATTGTAAGGTACCAGAGAGCATCCCCATAACCTAACGAGGAAACAGAAAGGTTAATTCATAAATTTGACCAGTTTACATTTGTATTGTGAATCTTCATTCATTCCCGTAAACTCACACATTTTGGATCACTGATCTCAAGTCCCCATCATATCCTACTTGGCTCTTGTTCAAGATTTCATTCTTTTTCTAGCCCTTTTGAGATTTTGTTCCTCAGGCAGAAGGGGACCTTTGATTTTAAATGGTCGATTATAATATATCTCTGGAGTCCTGGTGTGGCGCTGTGCATTAATGCACCAGACTACAGAGCTGTTTTGAACTGCAAGATCAGCCATTCAGTCTCACCAACTGCTCCTCGGAAACCCTATACAGGGTCGCTATGGGTCCGAACTGATGCGATGGTAACTTAACATGATGTTCCTACTGCTAGCTATTGTTCAGCTGAAAATGAAGCCATGGGTTGAAGCTCAGTTCTAAGGCTAAGGAGAGTTAGGGATAACAACTAGTAAGCCTGGCTCATTACGACTTGAGTTCTCAGCACTTTTTCTCCAGGATCTTTTAATATGAACTTTCACAGAGCAACTGGTAGTTTAAGTTCCCAATCTCAAAACCCACTACACCTCAGTCATGAAGTCAATTCTGACACAGTGGCGGACATGTAAGACCAATGGAACAGAAGAACCCAGAAGTAAATATGCCCGCAGGAGTGCCCAGGGTAAACGGAATTTCCAGGTTAGAAAAGGCGGGACACAGAGAACAAACAAGATAGCAGATCGGGTGGACACGCGGTAAAGAAGCTCCGCGCCAGCAACACAAAATACCCGACCAAGCAGGCTCAGGGCATGTTCCCAGAACTCTGAACCGCATATAAGGAATACTTAGAAGGTTGGAAGGCTCACAGCTGGGGGGATTTGTGGCAAAAGCAAGAAATCTATTGCTTTCTAGTCCGGGGCTCGGTTGCTCCAGGAGCCGCCATCTTGGGTGAGACCACGCAGGGGAAGGATCAGAGTGGCCACAGACGCCTGGCAGAACCACTGAGATAAAGTAACAAGAGTGAAAAAGGAAACCCATTTCCTGATCACATCTACCTGGAAGCATTCAGAAAGTACACAAAATACCAAAATACACACCCATCTAAGTATCAAGGCCACAGATAACCCCTGAAGATGCCTAAAAAACAGGAGCAGATGACCATATCTGCACATGTCCAGAAACGAGATAAAGTGACTGAGGCAAATGAGCTGGAAGGAGACCTACACTCCATACTGGAAGATGGCAGGCTTTGGGAATGCCTGAGAAGGAATTCCTAAAAATGATTATAAAAGGTATCAAAATACTATGCAATGCAGTTGAGAAAAATAAGGAAGTCAGGAAAGGGTTACAGGAACAATCAAGTAAGACAGAGCATTGGAAACAATTCAAAACCTACAGAAAGAGGTCCAAACAATAGAGTATCAGAAATGGACAATAAACTGAAAGGGCAAATGAGTAGAACTGAAGAGATAAAAGGCAGAAATAGTGAGCTAGAAGATTACAAAAAAGGATAAAAAATAATCTCTCCAAAATCAAAGATAAGGACAGGATCTTGAAAGCAGCTAGGGAAAAGAGAAATATAACATACAAAGGCAAGCAAATCAGATTAAGCTC